TCAAATGCTAGGGGGTGTCCCTGATTCGTCATTGTAACAATATTGATCTCTTTGTTTTTATCAGTATAATAGTTCTTTTGCATCAATTTAATTGTTCAGAATTTGCTATTGTTTTCCCTATCATACCAATAGAATTATATTTTTCTTAACACAATAGAGCTGGACAGTCATGTTAAGGTTTTCTAAGCAATTATATTATAAAATATTTCACCTAGGACTAGGGTTATCCTATAATAACCGAAGAATTCTTGATAATAAAATGATTGGTTTCATCACTAATTTTAATGGACACTGAAATTAGGATATATAGTTAAAGGTTTTTCACTAAGGACTTAGGGAAAGATAATCTTAAGATATTGTAGTTGATGTTGATGAACTTATTGAAGAGATCAAGAGTTAAAGTTATCATATGGCAAATCACACACTTACCCCTAGCATGTTTTCTCATACTAGTAAAAAGTCATATTTTACATTCTGCTATTTTAATTATTTGCAAGGATTTATTCCAAACAAAACAACTGAGAGTTTTTGTTTAATTGAACCATAATTTTAATTCAGTATTGTAACACAGTCCTCGAGATCGATATTCAGAGAATTTCTCCACTATTACTACTTAGGAAAATAGTACACTTTCTATTTTCCCTATCAGGAGCCATATTCTTGTTTTAACCTAGTTTATTTGTGATGATGCTTTAAATTTTCTACAGGACCAAGGTCCAAGCTCTTTATGCTTAATTGTTGATCTTAACTTCTCTTCTCATATCAATTCTATACGCTTCTATGATCTTTTTGGTTAGTACTCACTTACTAACCAATACAAACTTTTTCCGCTTTCGGGCGTTTCCTCGAAACTCTCAAAAGAAGATGTTAATTCTATTGTGCACAACACGAGACATAAATCCCCAAAGTTTGGATGGCACCATGTCTAAATTGCTAGAGCACGAATGTAGCATTATCTGCCTTCAGACATTTTTTTCTTTTGAAAATACATTTTCAGGTAGAACGTATTAATTCCTTCTTGTGCTGACGCGTGAGTCTCCAAAGGTCGAGTTGCGGCAGAAAGCGAAATTAATATTGTTCATAAGAAATACAAAACAAACCAAAAATTTTGAGGAGAACTACGAGTGCTCTGATCTCCCACTGCGCGAAAGGTGGTACGTAGGCACTAAAGGTTCGCAACCGCGGTTGGCACAACTAATAAAAACTTTATTTTTGTATATACTTTGCATGCATTCCCTTAGCATTAAGCTTTAGATTTTTATACACCCTTAGATTAGAACAAACTTAAGTCGATCCCGTGGAGTACCACAGATGTGAGGGGTGCTAATACTTTTCCCTTACGTAACCAACTTTTTTACCCTTTTTCTCTTGATCGTGAGACCATGCTCCTTTCCTTCCTTCAGGTTTACTCATTCCCTCTCTTAGAATAAATAACATTGATGGCGATTCTTCTGTCTTTCGCATTCGTTCGCGCTTCAATGAAAATCTCAGAAGCGACGTGTGTGTATATATATATATATATATATATATATATATATATATATATATATATATATATATATATATATATATATATATATATATATATATATATATATATATATATATATATATATATATATATATATATATATATATATATATATATATATATATATATATATATATCAAACTAATCAAATTAAATCATTTATATTAGATTAATACTATCTTTAAAATGCTAAAATATTTATATATGCACAAAGTAAATTTGTATATCTTAACAAATTTAATACTCCAAACAATTATTCATATGAGTTCATCATATAATAAAATAAATATAATATACAAACAAATTTCACTTTTGAATATGGATAAGATCCATTGATCAAAGATTGATACTGCATGTTAGTTAGTATAGTAGTTGATAGTAAAATAGTAAAAAAATGAATATAGTGTGTAAAACGTTTTTTGTTACCTTGAGTCTGCTAGCAAGTTTTATAGTGTGTAAAATGTCGGCGAGTTTGGAAAGAGTATAAGCTTGTGTAGCATCAAAATGGCTGGGGGACATCACACAACACAAACATATATCTCAGTCAAACCAATTAAACTACACTATCTAAACTATCAAATAAAGTGTATTAAATGAAATTGATAAAATTGAGAACACTAAAAATGAGTAATAACTGAAAATACATCGGATTTTGACATTTATTACAACTATTTCAATGTGTTTTAAAGCATGTTCTTTGTTTTTCGACTGAAGAGGATGGAACAAGAAGAACAAAAAAAATAAAACTTTGACAAATATTAGTGATGGATGACGAAATAGGAATAGGTTATTTAAGAGCATCTCCAACGGTAAATTCACTTTTGAATTCCTTGCGGAATCCATTAAATCACATCAGTTTGAAATAACTCAACTAATTTTTCACTTCAATGGTACAATTCTAAAAATTCATATTAGATCTCACAATTTTATTTTATATATTAATATTTTATTTATATTAAATTTTATATCATTTAAAATAATAATTTTAATTATTTAAAATTAAAATTGATATAAAATAAATAAAATTCAAAGTAAACTTATAATTTAAAATGATAATTAAAATTAATTTCAAATATATGTCCTATAATTAAAAACAATAAAAATAAATATCATGACATAAATTAATCAAACTTAAATTTAATCTCCTAAATAATTATTAAAGTAATATAAAAAAAATTTAAAAATTTTAAAAATGAAATAAATCCTATAAAAATTAATATTTATTATGTTTATTGTTATTTAATGTGAGGCAACTTTGCATTAGGATGTAACGGTTGTCCAATTTGAATAACTCCTCTAAGCTATGATTGTGTTTATATAGGAATATGTTAGAAAATCAAAGACTATTGTAATTTTTGGAAAAATAAAATATTTAAGATTGTTATTGATATAACCATAATGATGAATCGTAATGATGCGTGTAATTATTGCAGCAGATCATAAAATTTATTGGTTAATCAGTGAGAAAATTAAGTTATTAAAAAAACTATTAAACCTGTGAATTTAGATTTTTGATGAAATTAATTAAGGATAATAATGTAAATAAATCAGCTATTAAATTTCTTATCTTAGTAATAGATACTCCCATTGTCTCATATTATTTGTTGCAATTGATCATTTCACAAAGATTAAGAAACAATAATAAATGAAAGAAAGTAATAAATGAAAGAGAGAATAATGATTTTATCAAATTATCCTGATTAATTATTAATGTTTCAAATTAACATTAATGTTAAGTGAGAAAATAATAAATTAAAAATATTTATTAGAAAGCACAATTGAAAAATTAAATATAAAACTGCATCGATAATCTAAAGTGACAATTATTTTAGAATAAATTTTTTTAATCTAAAGTGACAATTATTTTAGAATAAATTTTTTTTAAATGTGACATTTATTTTAAAAAGGAAGAAATACATCAAATCTAAGTCAAACACACCCTTAGTTAATGTCATTAAGTTATTAACATTGAAATTTCTCTCAAGTCTCCTAATTTATAATTTTCGATATAATTTTTATTAGTAATATAAATATATGTCTAATGCATTGAAATATGAAATATAATAGTATATGTTAATTGACGAGAGAGATAAGAACAAAAAGTGAGCATGAGAGAGAGCTGCAGAGAAGTGGCAGCAGGACATAGAATCAGAACAATGGAAATGTGAAAAACTCGTAATGGTTGAGGGAACATGAACACCAAAACATTTCAAATATAATATACTCATTTAAAGTGCAATGGTTGAAGGCACGTGAATCAAGTTATCAAGTTAAGGTAAAAAAAGGTTTGTTTGAAAGTATCAAAGATGTTTGTAATGCTTGTTAACAGAGAGCACATAAAACACTCTAATTAGAGCTCTCTCTTTTTAAGACAAAAATGCAATGCAAGACATATTTAGAGTTACAGTATTAAGTTCAAATGACTTAATTGAAAATATCACAAGAAAGAATGCTTGTAATTGTTAGATTGAAAAAAGGTCAAGCATGCTGAAAAGACGTAACCGTAAGGTTGAAAAGTTAGTAACATAGAAATCTATACTAGAAGTTAAAAGGATAAAAAGGTTTGTAAAAAGAAAATTTACAATTTTTTTTGAAGAAAACTAGGGTTGCCAAACTATCAAAAATCCAACCTTTAGAAACATTTTGCTAAAGAAAAAGAAAAGCCAGGAACTTTGGATAAAAAGGTGAACACATGCTTTTCATAAAAAGGTATGTCTTCATAGATCCCTGGATTGAGGAGTATACAAACAAACAAACTCTAGTTCGCAAATGTTCCAAACAATGTTACACCATTTCAGAACAATTCCTATAGAGCAACACTCTTATTTGTCTGACCATTATTCTGAAATGCTTCAAAAGGGTAATTAAATCTTTTGACCAAACAAAAATCACAACCTTTGAAACAAACAAAACAATGCATAGCAAGTAGTAGCAGCAACCACAGAAACTACTCAGTTTATTTGACTTAATATTCAGGCGCTGAGTAAACAACGTATCACAAACTAATGTAAATTTTGTTTGAATGGGACAAACAACAGCAACATAACCAAAAAAGGCACAACAAAATATGACGTAAAAGACAATATTATATACTTATATTCCCTCAAGTTAAGCATTACAGTACTACTAGAACATACTAGCATAGTAGGGCAAAAAGGCTATAAACCCTACCAAGTACAATCAAGCATCATATCCGATTTCATTTCACTAGAAACACAAACGGCAGAGAATAGATTGAAGTGAAACAAAAGGCTCATATAGGTGGCTAGTTATCCACAAGAAGGGTGGACCCCACCACACAACCCTCCCATTGAAGGGATAAAGTGGCCAAGCTCCACCCAACTACTATATATCGTGGAATGGACAATTTCACACAACAAAATACTTAACTAATCAAGTACATACCCTAATTAACATCATCTGGTCTTCGTTAACCTACATTATACAACACATGAAAAGATATAAAAAACTACCGAGACTTATAGAGAAGCCTCCCCAATGTCCTCTGGTTTCCTTTGATCACACCATCCCGAGGTGGACTAAAGCACAGAGGGAGAACTTCCTCGGACTCACAGGGAAAATTTACACTAACGAAATGCTTCTCCAGCTTCTCCTTTCCCTACACAATCAACAAATTCAAATAAATAAAAAGTTCAATAAATAAGTGTAAAATAGTTAGGGCAAAATAATAGAAACAGTTTATTAGAGCATAGTATGCAATTGCAAAGCATACCTGGAGGCGTGCGGCAACGACATCACGTATCTTGTGGGAAAGGAACAATTCCCATTTCTGATTCGAAGCTGTCACAAGAAATCTCCAAGCTGCACTAGGCTTTGTGAAATTTACAAAAGCATATCCTTTGTTTAAACCAGTTCTGCATATTTATAAACCACACGTAATCATGAATCATCATCATTATTATAAAAGGTGTATGAATAAAGAAGTTCTAGAGAAAGAATTTTGTAGCGTACCTGAAATCTATTGGCAAGTAAACAAAGTCAATGGCGAAAGTGTTTTCTTGTCCATTTTCTTTATCTTTAGCATTTTCAACCATGCAATGGTTCTCCAAGAACTTGACTATCATGTCTCGACTGTGACCAAAAAGCAAAAATAAACAAATTATGAACTAATAAGAGATTTAATAATGTCCTTAAGTCAAAAGAGTAAAGGTTCAATGAAGAAAGAAGCATACGTGTATTTGCTAGGAATGTTCTTTATCATAACAGTTGTTTCATCTCCATCGGGACGAACCGGAACCACGGGAAAAATACTTGCTTTATTCTTCCAGTCGGTGGAAGCCCTAGAGTGTTGTTGTTGGATATTAACATATTCTTTGTGATGATTCCTTCTGAAACTCTCATTCTTAAGTTTAGGGTATTTTTCAGCATCATCTCCTCCTTTCTTCCTCCACTCAAGCCGTGGGATTCTCAACCTGTGAGAACGACGGTCTTCTATTTCTCCATCATTACTCTCCGAAGATTGCGCCTCCACCGCTATTTCATTTTTCATACCACTGGATGGTGGAAAAGCGGGAGTTGCGGTGGTGAGAGGGTGGTTAGCATGAAAGCAAAAGGAGTGAAAATGATGTTTTGAGGCAGTGGGATAGTAGTAATAGAAAAAAGGGTAAGAAGGTTGATGTCTGAGGGGAGTGAAAGTGAGGTATGGAGGGTGAAGTTTTTGAACATGGTTGGTGGGGTGAAACTCAGGAGCTTCCGCGGTTAAACCCGAAGCTACCGTGGAAGCCATTGGAGAGCGAAGGATATGTATATTGTGATGACTAGTATATTTATAGAGTTTTGAGTTTTCCGAACCTTGTGAATGAGAGATGAAAGTATGATAGTACTAAGAAGGAACGTGAGTGAGAGTGAAATATAAAAACAAAATTTCAATGGCTTTTCTGTTTTAGTTGCCGAACTCGATTCTATTAACATGCCTATCTATGGCTTCATTATGATCTATGGTTTAATTACGAGTGACTTATGTCAAATCAAATTAGTTTAATTAAATAAAGAAATTCAAAATTTTCTTTAAATAATCATTTTGCTTTCTTTTTTTTAAGGTCTAGAGTGAAAGTTGTCATGCTAAGCTAACACATAATGTAAAAATATAGAAATAAATTAAAACATTTTTAATTTGAAATAATTGGTTAATTTTATAAAAAATATAAAATAAAAAGATTAAAATTATTATTAACTTTATAAATTAAATTTAATGTAATTTTTATAATAGTTTTATTTTCTCAAATATCTTATTTATAAATTAAATTAATTTACTCATCTATTTAGATATGAGCATGGATGATTCATTTAGGTTTGCTTTATAAAATCTTGAAAAAATATAATGCGGACATATTTGAGGAAATACAAATTCTATTTTATATAAGATTGATAATGTTCATTCTACAAATTTTTAGAAAAAAATATGACACATACTTTGCAAAAAAAAAAGTCAACATATTTAAGTGTAAGAGCTTAAAATTTTGGCCTACTTCGCTTTAAAAATGAGGGTGGAACCACTACAAAAAAAAAACTCTAATTTATCAAGCGAGTAGTATTCCACAAACACAAATATCACTCTGTAATGTAAAAATGTTAGTTGCAATTTTTTGCAAGAAAAAATATACTCCGCAACTTTGCAAGGAGAAAACCACCTTGCAACGTTGCCAGGTGTTCACCCCACAACTCTTTTCCTAGAGTTCAATACATATCAGAGCAGTTGAGTATAAGATGGTTCACAGCAGTGTGGAGCAGAAAGTGACAGAAAGTTGCAGGGTGAATATAACCTGACAACGTTTGAATATTCGTAAACTTGCGGGGTGAAATACACATAACAAAGGTTTTTAATAAAATAAAAAAAATATTTTGTTTTTTCAAATATTAATAATATTCTAGTTTTAAAAATAACATTATTAATCTATTTTTAAAATAATAGTAATTTTTTTGAAGTTGATTTCAAATATGTTTTAACTGCCATATTAATCTATATTAATCTATATTAATCTAGTTTAGACAATTGCAAATAATTTTGAAGGAACAAATTATATTAACGGTAATATTAACTGTAATACTGCAATATAGTTGGTTGTGTGTAACCTCCTCCAGTCAAGGCCAAGTTGCTCTTTATGCTGCTCTTAAAAATATATTTGTTCAAAAACTAACTCCATAATATAAGATTGGGATGGAAACATTGGTGAAAATGAAGACACCGCCAATGAAAGCTGCAGAACTGTGGCGAGACAAACCATGGAGGCAGAGGTAGTAGCAAAAATATCAACTCCAATAATTTGTTCATATTTGAAATAACAAACAATTTATTAATATTGATTAATATTGCAGTTAAAATAATTTTGTGCATAATCTGTTTTTCAACTATTAATCTAGTTTTATTCATATGTTTAAAATAACAAATAATTTATAAATTTATGTACCTTTATAAGTGGAATTGATGAGAATGTGGAATGAAAATATGAATCCAGCAACAAATTTGAGTTTTTGAGGTGTGATTTGCAGTTAAAATTGAGAAATTTGAGAGATATAGAGGGGTTGGGAAATTTCCCTTTAAAGGGTTGGGAGAAGGTAGAAGATGAAATAAATGTTATGCTTATGTAATGGAGAAAAACAAAAGGATTTAGGGGATATATAAAAAAAACTTGTTGGGTGAAAAAAACCCTGCAATATTTATTACGGTTGAAATTTGCAAGGTGAATAGCACCCCGCAACTAATGATGTCAGTATTGACCAGAACATTCACCTATCCCTCTTTTAAATTAATAAATACAATATGTATTTTTCACCCAATTTTTCAAAAAATACTTGCGAAGTGGGATTCACCCCGCAAAGTTTCTTACTGTTGGAACTTGCGGAGTGCTTATAACTTCGCTATCTGTGTCACAGTAAAGTTACTCTGTCACAACTGAAACATCAATAATTGTACAACTTGATTTTCCCCCAAAAAATTTAAAAACAGTTGCGGGGTGTTTTCCACTTTGCAACTTTCAATTCAAAAATTTCAAAATTCTCTCCATTAGTTGCGAGATGAAAACACTTACAATTTTTATTAAAAAATAACAATGTTGTGAGGTGAATAACACCCCGCAAGTACATTTTATTGCGAGGTGAATAACACCTGACATAATCACCTGACTAATTGTATGTTTTCTTGTAGTGAACGGGCTTGTGGATACTATTTCTTTTAAATTTAAAAATACAAAATTTATATAATACATGTGTCTGTAAAAATCCGAAGAAAAAATAAAGCATGATAGTAGTAACACATTATAGGGTTTGGCTTAGACCTTTGACTTGTACGACATTAAAATAAAAACAAAATAGACATATAATCCAACCGATCGAATCTATTTTATAACCTTAATTTTATACCTAATGAATAAGTACTTAAAACCTTTAGTATAATGAGAAATGATATCTCTATCATAAACTTAAATATAAATTATTATTTTTTGAAGAGGCTAAAATGATATATTACTAAATGAAAAGCCCTTCAAGCACAAGGCGTACAAGAAAGACCTTAAAAACAGTTATTACAACACCAATCCAAAAAAGAAAAACAAAAAGGATCAAAATTAGCGGTCCACACTGGACAACTAACCAAAACTATCAAGAATGCTCTGCATAGGAGTTACCCTCCAAAGCACATAATCAATAGTGAATCCCACCACATAAGCTTTCAGCCATCAGAAGGACTGAATTTTAATCTTCGCACATTGATAACAACGACACAATTTGATTAAGAAAAATCTATTGGTTCCGCGATTTCTAAATTATCCACACAATAGCTATCCAAATAATATGAAAAACAAACTGACAGTCTTTTGACCAACCATCCAATCACAAAGTGATCATGATGATCCAAAAAATGTCCCTAAAAAGTCACCGAGATCCCTAACCACCTAGACAGCAAAGGCCAAATTTTGCCAAAATACTCACACTGAACAAAAATATGATCTATGCTCTCATCCATACTACAATCCATAGGACAATTTTGCACGTCCGCTAAGATAACATGCCTCTTAAGCAAATTGTCTTTGGTTGGTAATCTATTAAGATACAACCGCCAAAGGAAAATATTGACCTTAAGCGGCACCGCTTTTGACCACCAAACTTGAGAGCCTCCAGAATAAGAATCATCCTCTGTCTTCGTCAATAAATGGTACGTACTGCTCACATTATAACTCTTTGAAGAACGAATACGCCACACTCAGGTATTCTCAACAGCGATATGTAAAACAACATAATCCAACAACTAAATACACTCCCCCACCATCTCTTCCTCCCACGCAAACATGAGTCTGAAAATGATGAAATACTGCATCCTTAATGGGCTCCACAACTTCCACAATATCACCATTAATAGTTAAAGAAATTATCGCATTAACCCTTCTTCTAGACGGCATATACCCATGAAAAAGTTTTTAATTTGCATCACCTTCTTTCAACCAATTCAATCTGGATTTCTACCACCGAATACTCGCATTTAATTCAGAAAGAACCATCAACTCTGCCTGTAACTTATGAACTTTCTCCAACTCACCTTCCTCTAAGCTATGTTGTTCCCCTTTCACATCAAGGAACTCTAGCCACTCCTTTACTTTTACCATTCTCCCCTCTAAATTATGAGTATGTTATTTATGCCACAATTTAAGGTTCCCTTTTACTAACCTCAGTTTTTATTTCGACACATAGCCACCTCACCCATCCACCTGACACGACCTTCACTGCTCTACCACGTAGTCGTGATACCCTGGTATATCTGCCCAACACTTCAACATACTCTGAGGCCTCGGACCCCAGTTCAGGACATCAATATACAATAACAAAGGACAATGATCAGAAATGCCTCTAGGAAGAGCCCACTAAGTACAATTCGGCCACAAAACACACCACTCTGTAGACACTAGGAACCTATCCAATCGACTCATGACCCTACCATCCCTACGATACCAAGTAAAATGTCTCCCACACAAAGGAAAATCCACCAAAGCGTTATCATAAATAAACATGTTAAAAGACACCTCTTCCACTTGATGTCAGCGGAAACCATACTACGCCTTTCAGATTGATGTCTAATGGCATTAAAATCCCCCACTACACACCAATGACCATTACCACCACCATAATTATGCAAAATTTTCCCTAACCTGTCCCATAACATTTGACGCCCTAATCCATCACACGACGCATAAACATTTGCTAAAGAAAACTTCTCCCCACATTTATAAAACATACCATGAATAATTATCCCATGATCAATTAAACGAAAATCCTACACCTCAACCACCGCTAAGTCCTACACCGACAAAATACCCCCCGAAGCCCTCAAAGAAGGCTTAAAAGAGTAACCAAACACATCATTTTCCCACAAGAACTGACAAACGAACTCATTCACCACCTCCAATTTAGTTTCCTGTACACACACAATCCACGACCTATGCTCTGAGACCACCTTCCTCACCTCTTTACGCTTTTCTCACCCACTTAACCCCGCACATTAAAAGACATAATCTTCATTAACAAACTCACCCCCTCGAACCCCCCTCAGTACCACCTCCTCTTACTCTCCCTCCCTCTCATCTCCCTGGCTCACCACCTTTTCCATCTTCCGACCCCGACCTCCACCTCACGATAACGCACCAAACATATTCGAACAATCACCCACAAAATTTACTCCAATCTCCTTCCCTACTTCCTCCACATCTTTCTCCACCACTTTTTCCCTCCATGAAGAGA